TGACAGAGTCCTAGAAGACCAACCATGCCAGCAGCTCGATGAAGCCCGTGTTCGGCTGCATCACAGGATGCCCCAGATTAGGAACACAGTGTTGGCCTACCCTATGGCCTCCTTGATGCGTTGTGCAACCTCGCTGTCATGGACCAACCCCTGGGTAAGCGTCGTCCTGATGAGCTACACGCCGGGCGTCATCCCGTACAGTAGGAGGATGCGCGCCATCAGCGGCGCCACCCTCCTCACGTGATACCCCCCGATGACGCCGGCCCCGCGGAGGCCACAGGTCTTCAAGAACGCAATGGCCTCGAGGAGGTCGTGCATCCTCTTCTTCTCCTTGACGGGTGGCCCCCACGGCCATGACGACCGTACCACTACGATTAGACGCCCGGAGAAGACCGGCAAGGGAGTGGCAGGGTCGTTCTTTAGGTAGAACCAATGCGAGTGCCACCCCTTGTTGAATTTGGAGAGCTGGCAGGGCATGTACTCGGCCGCCCGCTGTCCCCGGAGGTGGATGCCCACGCATCCCATCGGCACCGGGGTCTTCCGACCTCTCTCCTTTTTCTTGATCAAGGAGATGGAGAAGAAATATCTCTAGAGCTCGAAGTGGGGATCGATCTCCAGGTACCCCTTGCACATCACGATGAAGGCCACGATGTGCTGATCCCATTGGGATTCAAGTGCTGTAGCTTGATCTGATAGTGGTGCAGCAGAACCCAGAAGAATGAGTGGGGAGGAACTGCGAGTCTACGCTCGTGAAAGAGCACGAAGGAGACGACATAGCCATCAGGCGGCGCTGGCGCATCCTCACGGCCGGGCACAAGCCACTCCACTGCATCGGTCCTCCCATGGAAAAGACCACGCTTGACGAGGCCCTCCATGCGTGCATGGGTAACATCGGAGCGGTACCACGAATCCATGGAGGATGGAGACGGTTGCGGAGAAGCAAAGGCGGCGGCAGAGAAGCGGAAGCTATAGATCTAGGGCTTCGGCGGTAGATTAGTAAGCACGACAGATCCGGACGGCGGCGGCGGAGAAACGGAGAAGGTAAGGCTGCAGTTTTGGTGTGCAGGAATGTGAAGGGGAAGGCTGCTATTTATAGGACGGAGTGGGGCGAGAAGACGAACCATCCGCCTAGATTCACGCGCCCACTGTGCCGTGTCACGTCACCTCCCTTCGGAGATCGCGTGCACGCTACCTCTGGACGCGCCCTCGAAGGACATGCCAGATGATGGTTCACCTGGTCGATGGGCCAAGAACCATCATAGGAGAGGAGGGATACGGAGCTAAAACTGCTCCTACGGCCCATTTAGGCCCAGGAGTTCGAAGGTTGGCCCTCCGATGGGTTCACAGCCGCTCCAAGGCACCCTTAGAACAAGGGGTGGAGAGGGAGGGGGCCACTAGCAGCCGGTTCCCGGGCATGCGAGCGCTGCGGGCATCCCGACCCACGATCGAGTCTTGGTCGGTTCCCAGTCCATGGGTTTTCCTCAAAGAAAGGCAACAAACCCTTGGGGCCGGTCTAACGGACTTGAGAACTATATGGATTGGGCACTAAGAATCAGGAGTCGCTCACCAGCTGACCCATGCTGGAATCCCGTGAATGGAAAGCTGTGTCCCCACTCGGACTAGCCCGTTAACAGCTCACAAAGCACCATGTTTCGTCCATCGTGGGAAACCATGGCACGGCTCAGCCCCTCCATTTTATCAAAAAAACACTTGAGGGATGACGATCCCAAAGATGAGTCGGCCCTCGATCGGGCCCCTACCACGCGCAGGGGCTCGAGGGAAGTTGGACTCGCAAGGAGACCGAACGCGCGGTCGCAGGATGACGGCGGGCCGATCGGATGCTAGGGGACCGGAATCAAGAAAAATCTTTCCGACCTCCCGAATCCTACGGTTACACGCCCCCAAGAAGACTGATCACGACAAAATAGAATCAACGTCCTACCAGGACACGCCACGGGCTATAAAAAGAAGGCCAAGGCCCTTAGAGTCCTCTTGTCCGGAAAAGCCTCAAAAGGAGTATTCTACTCCTCCGTAGGCTCGAGGGCTACTGTCGGGTATCGATAGTAGGGATACCCAAAGCAAGGAGGTTAGAGCCCATGCTGACTCCTCCGGATGGCTCGAGACGTATTAAAAGGTCTCGAGCGACCCCAAGGCCGTGGGCTCCGTCTCGCCCAAGGTCGTGGGTTCCGTCTCGCCTGACCCCTCGGGTGAGGGCTCTGTCTCGCCCGACCCTATGGCCGCGCACCATCTCGCCCGACCCCTTGGGGGCAGGTTCTGTCTTGCCTGACCCTGAGGACGCGGGCTCCGTCTCGCTCGACCCCTTGGGGGCGGGTCCCGTCTCGCTCGACCCCGACGACGTGGGTTCCGTCTCGCTCGACCCCTTGGGTGTGGGCCTCGTCTCGCCCGACCCCGAGGACACGAGCTCCGTCTCGCCCAAGGTCGCGGCTTCGTCTCGCCCGACCCCTTGAGGGCGGGTTTCGTCTCGCCCGACCCCGAGGACGCGGGCTCCGTCTTACCCAAGGTCACGAGTTCTGTCTCACCCGACCCCTCGGGTGCGGGCTTCGTCTCGCCCGACCCCCTGGGTGCGGGCTCCGTCTCGCCCGACCCAAGGCCACGGGCTCCGTCTCATCCGACGGGGACCCATACCGTCGCCAATCAGTCTAGGTCCAAGCGTATGGGCCTGTGTCAAAACTCTGACACCAAGGAAGAGACTGGCATGCCTCGATGTAACCCATGGCCATGACGGGCCATACATGAGGATTCACATCAAGAACAGTGTCGGGCGTGCCGGTGCTGTTCTGCCTAACCCTCGTACGGACGCTGACATGCGTGTCAGTTCACCACGACATCCGCCAGGATGGAGTGGAACGCCATGACTGGTAGATGACGCCTACGCATGGCGCCAGTGACGAATAGGGCCACGACGTGGAGCCGTCCCTGTTGACATTTATAGGATCAGTGGGACCCGCATGAAGGAGAAGAAGGACCCAGCGACCCTGGAAGCCTTCTTTCTTTCTCTCTCTCTCTCGTTCTTCACTTTTTCCTCCGTTGTAACCCGCACTTTTCCTTCACTTATAAAAGGGGAAGCAGGGCGCCCCGGGATCGAGATCCGCACGAAATCAGAACACAAGAGCACGACATAATCACACGACTGAGCAGCCATCGATGTCTCAGCACCCGTTCACTCCTTCCACCAGAGACTTTAGATCCTTTCCCCCTCTCGCCTGTTTGTAACCCCTACTGCAAACCAAGTGCCGGTAACACGAGCAGCATCGAACTGTACGTAGGGACGTTCCGAACCAGTATAAACCCTTGTATCCTCCGAGCACACCATTCGAGCCAGATGCGTAAATACAAATTTACTCGTCGGTGGTCAAAAACACCTACACTATGCTCCTCTAGATTGCTCCTCAAATATTCAGCCTGATTGCGAGCTCGGGTTTCTGATTCTTGAACATCAACAATTGTCCAAGGTTGCATGTCATGACCCAACTGCTGTTCCAAATTTTAACTTTTCAAATATCCCCTTTAAACCGCCAATCCCTGACCATCACCTCCTTGTCCCTTGAATTGAACCTAGATAATCTCCGACCCAACATCTTACCTCGACTCTTCCACATCATGAGATTATTTCCTCTTTATTTCTTTTCTATGCTAGCGAGACTTGTAAACAATGTGGTTATCTCTCAACTCGCGTTAGGTGAAGTTCAATCACGAGGAACGCCTTCCAAGCATCTTTTGATACTCTCAACCCTAACGTTAATGGCGAAGCCCTCCGAAGCGGACAAGGAATCCCCACAAGTGAAACTCCGGTCAACCTGAGCAACTCACCCGAATCAACAGCTCAAAAACCCTAAGTTCCAATCAGTACTCATATGCTACCGTCCGGCTCTATACCCAGGACTGTCTTGTGGGATAGGTCAGACCTCAATTGGCTAGTCAACACCGTGGATTCAATGAGGTTTTGTCGGACCATCCGCACTATCCCGCTGGACCGTGTGCCAAAACACTTTTTTTTCTGCAAACATGCAGATGGATGGCCTATTTCTCCCCTTCCTTGGTCCTACCTGTCAGCACGAAAAAGAACATTCCACCTGCGAGCAACTGGAAATTGTGAGCTTTCTGATATCTTCACAAAAATATCGTCACGTGGAAGTTTGCATTCTCTGACCCTTTTATATTCTGCATTTACGTTGTGCTTTTTACCTTACTTGTTTAGGTCGTTAGGTTACTTGATCGAATTCGGGTCTGAGATACAAAATTCTTTGGTGCTAGAGAGAGTAACACTTAGAAAAAAAAATCTTGTGCACATTAGCACATATAGACAGAATTTGTGTAGGTATTTTTTTTAACTCGGATCCTTCGTTTCTTTCTTATTCCTCCTTTTTGCTTGCTATACCACCACGTTTGGAACGTAGAAACATCTTCCTATTTTCTGTGCTTTTGATCCTATAAATTTATTTTTAGCCATTTTTTTGGCGCTTCTGCTTAATAAAATACACGTGAAGTCATGTTCTTGGAAAAAGTCCTGTGAATTTTTTTATATTTTTTACGATTGTTTTGTGTTTAAAATAAAGGGGCCTAATTCTTTTTTTTTTTGAGGGGAATAAAGGGAGCCTGGCCTCAGCCAGAGCCCAGAGCCTAGAGGACCGAGAGCGACTGCAGCATCTGCTGTCGTTGGATCCGCACGGAACGGCGATAGAGCTCCAAACGCATTGGTCCGCGGCGGGAAGGTGGCGGCGCCGACGTGATCTCTACCCCAACATGCGCGCACGGGACTGGATTCGACTCTTGCTGCCCAAAGAAATCCCAATCCACGAGGGAGGCCAGAGGGGAGGGAGAGAGGAAGATATTCCACAGGGAGGGACGGAGGGTGATTGATACAGGGGCAGCAGATCTGAGTACTAATTCTAGTTGATTTCTCGTATCGTTTCTGCTCCCCCTGAATTTCACGCGCCACATGTCCCAGAAGCGGCAGCCAGACCGCCGGTGTCGGCAAGATGAAGCGCACAGTAAGCCTTCTACTCCCGTTGTCGTATCGAGTTATTTCTGTGCATGACCAGCCGCAGCGGCTTGTTCGTAGGGAACAACAATAACATGGTTCGCTGCTCCATATGCGCTCCTTTCTTTAGGGACAACAACAACAAAGAAAAACTGTTTTTTTTAACTAGTTCGCTGTTTAGTTGAGTGCCGACTGCCGACCAATTTTTCTTCGACCGATTGGCCAATGTAAAGTCTTAATTTGGTGCATAAATATATGCAATTTTTTCATGTTTCAGTAGGTTAAGGTTCTCATCCATCTCCTCATTGTTTCGATGTGGATCTGTTCCAAAAAGAAGAAGAAAATTGGGGAAACATTGGGATGGAAGGTGATTTCTGCAGGAATCCACCTCAGTGATTTTACAGTGCTACTAATAATATATTCAAATGAGTAGGGAGACCAATTCCTTCCTTTTGTTTGCTGTTATAAGATTCGAGATGAGCAATGCCAGGTGAAGAGATTAGAGGCAGGCAGTTATCCAAGAGTATACTGATTGCAATGGCTGTTGGCCAACATCGTCATGTTCCTTTTGCCTTGAACTATTATTGTCGAGACTTATGAGGTAGCTATTTTCTGCAAAAAGGAAAAAAAAGCATGCTCAATCCTTTTTGTCATTAGTGTTGCTGCATGAAGTTTTGGTAACAAAAATAAATGCATTCTTTTGATTGCATTGGTGTCCTTGAGTCTGCTATTTCATTCCTAGACTGGCTGTATTATTTGTAAGCATGTATGATGTACTGCAGATGGCTTGATTAATTCACAGTCTAAAAGAAACGGCTCACCCTGCCAGCGAGATGATGATTCTCAGGATGCTGAAACACAGATATGTTTAGGAGCAAGCCTTCCGGAGGTATACCATCACTTTTTGATAATCGTAAACTTAGCGCAAGCAAAGTATCATGATCACTGTTTGAACTGTACAAATCATTGAATCTATGCTATCTAGATTAAAGGGCATACCCAGTGCAGAGAGCTCCCGCTCTGTGCGGGGTCTGGGGAAGGGTGTCAGTGGCAAACCTTACCCTCGCCTGTGCAATGCGAGGAGACCGCGACTCGAACCTAGGACCTTCCGGTCACAGGCGGTAAGACTCTACCGCTTGCACCAGGCCTGCCCTTCCTATGCTATCTAGATTATGACATGATATTTTAATGCTGTGATCTCATCTCCTACAAATCTTTTGCACTTGTAACTTCGCTTTTGTGCATAATTAATTTTTCAATGCAAATAGTATTTGCTCCTAAGGATCACAATGTGGCAACCATCTTCCCATCTCAATGCATAGAAGCTGGAATTTCTTTTTTCCTGGATCTTCTTAAGTTAATAATGAGCACCTGGCATTAATCTACATACCATCTATAAGTTTGTTAGATGTACGATTTAGAAAGAAACGTATTTCTTTCTTGGTTGGCCATAACTCATGTCTTTTTGGCATCATTAAGTTCTAATTTGCATGAAGTATAACAAGTATAACATGTTTATTTCCAATAGGTTGTTACTTAACTTACTAAGGTTTATGCACGTTTTTTACACTGTAGTTGTCAAAGTTGTTTGATTCTATTTTATAATTACACAGACCTCCTGCTGTTTAAGTATTCAGATGCACTATTGGCACTCTGTCCATAAGTGCTTGTTCTTTTTGTCCAATCTACTATAGACTAGCGCACTACTGTATACAAGTCAATAAAACATCTGTCGATCTTAGTTGGCACAAATGCAAATAAACCAGTATTGTTGGGCACTAAATGCCTGATTTGGATGGTAGCACATTGTTTTAGTGAAAAGGCATGAATAGATTGGGTAGTAAAAGCTCTGGCCACTGACACTTTTTTTTAGCTAGCCATAAAGAAAACTTGATGTACTAGTACACTTACAAGCTCAGTATCATTTGTCTTTACAATTCTAAAGCTGAACTTCTTTTCCGTCCTTCTGCATGCAGGATGTCTGGTGTCATATACACTCGCTGATGTCAATGAGAGCCGCTGCTAGAGCTGCCTGTGTGTCTCGTGCTTTTCTACATTCCTGGAGAAGGCATCCCAACCTCATTTTCAATAATAGAACATTGGGATTAGATAGAAACACATATGGGGCTAATGAAAGTGCCAGAGGTTTCTCTAGCAAAGTCGACCACATTCTGAAAAAACACTCAGGCATTGGTGTGAAGAAACTCAAGATTCACATGCCTCTAGATTACAAACTGAAGGACTCTTGTTATCCTGACAGTTGGCTTCAGTTTGCTGTTACACTAGGAATTGAAGAACTTGAACTAGCATTGCCAGTTAAGGCAAAGTACAACTTCCCATACTCATTTTTTTGTAATGGGAGTGGAGACTCGATACGATATCTTCTCCTTGCGGATTGTTCCTTCCATCCCACATCTGAAGTTGGTTCCTTAAGAAGCCTGACCAGACTACATCTTTGCGCTGTCTCTATTACAGAGGATGAGATAGGGTGCTTTATTTCCAATTGTTATGCTTTAGAGCAGCTGGAAATCAGGTATTGTGATTGGATAGTTTGCTTGAGGGTGCCTTGTATGCTGCAGCGGCTTAGCTACCTAGAGGTCCTTGGTTGCAGCAAGCTGCGAGTGATAGACAACAAAGCTCCAAATATATCTAGTTTTTACTTCGGTGGAAATCCCAAGGTACAACTGTCACTTGGAGAAACATTGAAAATGAAGAACCTATACATGTCCTTCTCGGGCGCAATTCGTTATGTTCGTTTTGAACTTCCATCCAGCATGCCAAACCTTGAAACTGTTACCATATATTCGTCCAGGGAGGTATATTCTAAAAACTTTGAATGTGGATTAGCAATATGCATATGACAATTACTACCTCATGTATATCCTGGTAAAACTAATCTGATATCTTTTTGTAGATGGTTGATACGCCAATGCTGCATGGCAAGTATTTACACCTTAAGAACCTAAGTATTGCTCTCAACGCAGCAGCCTCCTATGATTATCTTTCTCTGGTTTCCTTTTTTGATGCTTGTCCCTCCTTGGAGACTTTTGTCTTGGATGTAAGTCACTGTTCGCTATGATATTTGTAGCTATCTATTAGTAGCTATCACAGAGAAACCATGACAATAGTTTTTTTTTTTCCTTAGGCCTCACACTGGAAGACGGAGCATGTCTCAATTTTTACATATCCATCAGATCTGAGGCGGATGCAAGAACAGCACCACCACAGGATCAAGAATGTGAAGATACTAAATTTCTCTTCTGCAAAGAGCCTGGTTGAGTTAGCATGCCATGTTGTTGAGCATATGACATCCCTTGAGTGCCTTACATTGGAGACATATCAGAGTACTTTTAGGTGTCATGTGCCCAACCATAAATTTATCAAGTGCTCCCCACTAGCCATTGATATTCTCAGGGAAGCTAAACGAGCACTCATGGCCATCAGGACATACATTGAGCCTAAAGTTCCCTCCACAGTAGAGTTACATGTTGTGGAGCCTTGCAGCCGATGCCACGCTGTTGAACTTGAGCTCCCAAGTTTAGGATAAAAGATTACTCAATGCTTTAATTTTTAGATGAGCTATGGCTTCATAGATTATCAGAAACATGTACTGCTTTGTCCAGTTTATAGTGTTGCTCTTCCTGTGATATTGGAGAACATTTTGCCTTGTTCCATCCTTCTCTTTTTGGAGTTTTGAGGGAACATGAACGTCATCTGATTGCTTAATTTACATGGTTGGAGAATTGGAGTGGATAGACCATCAACGAGACAGGAGTTGGTAACATGACATTTGCATTTATCGTCTGCTGAGTGCTCTTCTGTGAAATACTAGCATGCATGATCAACAGCCAAATGCTGTCTCTGCCCTCTGGAAGCTCATCCCAAGCTAGCTCGTTAATCGCCGGCTTTTGTCTTTCTACAGTTTCATAGTTAGACTTGGATCAAATGTTAGTTTGGCCAGTTTGTGGAGAACAAGAAAGTTTTTCTTTTTTTTTTTAAAAATAACAGTTGTCTGTTAGGTGATCAGCGGACCATGTATTTTGCATTTAGTAGCCATGAATCCCGTCCTGTTCGGCTGGCTGATTTTCGGCTGCTGCTGATGCTAATACTGATTTATTGTGAGAGAAAAATATCATTTCATAGCTGAAAAGTAGTGCTGATTTTGGCTGATAAGTTCAACCGAACAATTCTCACAGTTGGCAGCCAGTGTACTTTCTTGCAGTCATATTGACTCTACATGCGTATTACTACTAGACTAGGACCGTTAGTGACAGTCTCGCACATGTTCTACCCCCTCTATCCAAAAAAGGATGTAACACATGCAACTATGGGTTACGTGTCAGATTAGTTTATGTTTGACCAAGTGTCTAGTAAATAATATTCATATTTATGGTTTTAAACTAATTTATTAATAAAATATATTTCATAATTAATCTAATAGTATTTATTTGATATTATAAATATTTATAGTTTTTTTATTTATAATTGGTCAAACTTGATATACTAAAACATGATAATGTATTAGAGTTGTATTCTTTCTTACACACAGTCCAACGCACAGCTCCTACCAGATACCATCACCTGGAAATGGACGATGAATAAAGAATACACACAGCCAAGTCTTCGTACCAAATCCAATTCTTTGAGCCTTCGAGCCATTCCGCAACAACTTGATTTGGAAAGCAAAAGCGGAAATGCGAGTTCTTCACATGGACCATGACCTAAAACAAATTCCTATTAGCCGACAACCTAGCGAAGCGGAGATAGCTACATCTGACGTCCTGCGCACTCTTGGTTTTTCAGTAAACTGGAGGGGACCTCGGCCCGTACAATATTCATTAAAAACTGAAAGGAACAAAGTTTAGGTACAAGTGCAAATTAGTTCAAGAAACAAACAAAAAGAAAAAAAAATAATTAAGTAGCAGACCACCAATTATATTAGGCAGATTTAGGTAGTAGATTTGGCCCTAGCTACCTCTTCATTTGCCTTCCATGTAGATTTAGCTTGTGGGTACTGATGATGAGTTATATACATACTCCTGTGATTTCGCAAGCACAACTCGTCCTTACACAAACAAGCAATGCAAGTGTATACATACACGAAAAAAACATAAAGGAGTTTATTCCAAAGAGAAACATGCAAAGCTTATAAGGACTTGACTAACATCATTCGTGCAGTTGCGCCATCGAGCTTTGACTCGACATGGCCATGCATTATTCAGATTACATGCATGCTAACGACTGAAAACGTACAACAATAAGCGAAGGACCCAAACCAGGCCAGAACATGATGGACTCCTACTTGACCCTCACTCATCAGCTCGTAGCACTACTTAAAAAAAGGTTCGTAGCAACGGCTCATTTTTTTAGGGGCGGCTGGGATGAAGGCGCCTCTACAATGGGCGTGCTCGGGACCCACGAGACCAGTCGCCCCTACAAATGGCACAGTAGAGGCGACTAACCTACAAATGGGTCGATTCGTAGGGGCGGCTCACTCACCAGGTGCCTCCGGTGTTGCGATTTGTAGGGGCGGCTCAATCACCGGCCACTCCTACAAATACATTTGGCCCACTGATCTCGTCCATCCATCTTGATCCAACGGGGAGGCTCCCATTTGCACCGAACACCATGCCCAGTTTGCGAAACCCATCGTCGCCGCCCCTATTTTCACGCGATCGCAACCGCGGTTTTCGGCTAAACCGCTGGGCCCTGCCTGTCCTCGCTTGTCCCCTGCCGCCTTCCCTCTGAGTCCGAGCACGCGAGCGTGAATTGGAAATTTGCCGGCCCCGCCGCTTCGCACCTGCACCCAACCTACCCAGTGAGACCGACGAAAGGGCCCCACTGCCAGATGGCGCTCAGGCACTGGCCAGTCAACCTTTAGAGTCCCCCACAGCCGCTTGACCCAGCGCCGTCCCAATTTTCCCGCGCGCGACGACGCGTTTGGGGAGGATTGGCGCTGGTTGCTAGCCGAACCTGCTGCACCAGCCCCACCTCATCTCGTTTCGCATGCGTGGTATGGAAAACAACCGGCGCCGTGCCCCTGGTTTGGCGAATCCGTCGTCGCATAGCGTGCGGCCAGTGGCCATCTCCCTTACCCCTTCCTTTTCCCAGCTCCGCCCCAGCCCTAGCCTCCCTTTAGTGTTCTTGAGAGAGGTCCATAGATTATTCACTCGTCTGTGTAATTCAAGTTTGTAACCTGAGATTTGCTGGGAAGTGAGGCCCTTAGCTTACGTTGCCCTCCGGGGTTCATCTCTTTGAGCTGTGTATTTTTGTGTTTGCTATTCTATGTTCGTCGTCCTTCTCCCTCCCCTTTCTTGCTTCATCTTTTTGGATTGAGATGTTTTGGGGAGTTTTTAGTTCATCCATGAGACCATGACGAGCTAGGACACGTGCTGAACTAATCCCTCCAGTGATTCAAATCAATTTGGCATGAACTCGTAGACATGGTTTCCTTTTTCGGCCGAAATCTCCTGATATTTCCGATATATCATTTTTATCCGTAGGTGCCGATAAGAAAATATCTATCTTTTTCGTACAAATTTTATTTAAATTTATTTAAATTTACTTAAATTCAAATTAATTTTTATTTGAATTTGGTCCGATATATCATGTTTATTCTCTTTATCTGTGACCTCGATAAATTTTAATTTCTAAAAATGAAAACCTTGCTAGTAAATCGATCTGGTTTTCGCTTTTGAGGAGAAAAACCCGTTCTTGTCTACAATCTGAATTTTTCCCGGAGTTTGGATTATGATTTCTTGGGGATAGATTTGTAGCAAGTCGAATTTCTCCTGTGCAAATTCTGGGGATGAATCATGGAGGTTTAGGTAGGATTTGGTTGAATTTCTTGGTGCCGCCTTTCTTGTTCGTTCTTTACTGTTCTTCGTCAGGTTCTTGCTGTGGTTCCGTGAGGGCACCTGTGAGCTGCCAGTGCTAGCATCCTGGTCGTGTGCATCTCCTGGCCAAGTTGCTTTGGCAGCAGCGTGCATCAATCCTCTAGGCGAGCAACTGTTTTCCTCCTGTCCTTCTGTTAGTTTCCCGTTCATTCTTTTGCTCGTCCCTTTCTGTTCCTTGCGCACGAGTGCTCTGTTGGATACGTTGAGGTATCAGGGTTGGGCTCCAGTGAGCATCCGCTCAGCCCAGGCTGCTCCGGTCTCCTCGGCGCCTGCCGCTCTCGTTCCCAGTGCCAGCTGCGAGCAGACCCGCGACTGCTCGGTCCACGTCGTTCTCGTCCAGTCGCTCAGCTCAGGCACAGACAGTTTGCCATCAGGGTGCGGACAGTCTGCCGCTGCAGCACACGTCAAGAATCGTGGGGGAAGCGAACCGTGCACACCTCATTTCTCTCATCCTCCCATTCACGCGCTAAGAAACTATGGCGGCTGGGCATCCCTTGTGAGTCGGCGCCTCTGCACTAGCTCGACAGCCAGGTCCACAGGGGAGGGGGGAGCGCGGCAGGGACTGCAGCGGCTGGATCTCGCGTGCCCTCGTGCGCGGCCAAGGCAACGGCGACTAGATCTACGGCGGCGAGGTCCTGGCAACAGTGGGCTCGTGCCTCTACACCAGCTCGGGCGGCAACCGGGCACACGATGCGCGTTCCCTTGCCTACTCGCCGATGGTCGTGGGCGCGGTGGCCTCTGCAGTTCCGGGGGCACGACGACAATGGATTTGAATATTTTTTTACGGAAAAATATACTGTAGGAGCGGTTCTAAACTGAACCACCCCTACAAACAGGTATTATAGGGACGGCTGGTACTATAGCCGTCCCTACAAATCGATTTTGTAGAGGCGACTATTAACACCACCCGTCTCTACAAATTAATTTGTAAGAGCAGTCTAGGAACCGCCTCTACAAATACATGATTTGTAGAGACGGTTTGGTAGGGACGGCTGACCAAACCGTTGTTACACATGCTCTTAAGCCGCCCCTAAAAATGCCTTGTGGCGTAGTGTAGGGAGTACCCATACGATGCCTGTTTCACATGCAAGCTATGCAGTACAAAAGATTAAATAAACTACCAACACAAATGTATATAACTAAACCTCCATCAATTCGACTTAGAGCATGCAACACCGGAAATTAGCTATTCACTTTTTTCTCCCTTGCATTCTTTTTCACATTTGTCCTTGCACTGTTGGGAGACAGAATATACGCAGCCATTGTACGTAGGGCCTCGAAAGCCCTTGCATTGCCTGTCGCATGAGCTGTCGCAGTCACATGTAGTCCCATTAGGGCAGTTGGCCTTGCAGCCCCAACCGCAGTAGAACCTGCACTTAGGTTCATCTGCAGCCTGGGCTCCTCGCAAGAGCTCGCAGCCTCCTTGTCGCACTTGGAAGGACATTCGGAGATGCAACGATGCATGGCGCAGGATGGCGACCCTTGTGCTGGTTCCCCCACCCAGCTCACAAACAGAGCCACACAAATGGCAGCAACAACGGCCCCCTTAAGAGCAGAGGCACGCAAAGCCATTATGCACAGCTACTAGCTTAAGAGAAAGTTACTGTATGAAGATGAAGCAAGATGTGACCGGCAAGCACCTTCTCAAACG